AGAATATGCAGCTGTTGTGTGGTGCCCATATCTTAAGAAGCACATCAACAAACTGGAAAAGGTGCAAAGACATGCTACTAAGTGGCTCCCAGAACTGAAGGGCAAGAGCTACGAGGAGAGGTTAGAAGCATTAAATATGCCAAAACTAGAAGACAGAAGAAAAAGAGGTGATATGATCACTACATACAAAATAGTTACAGGAATTGATAAAATCGACAGGGAAGACTTCCTGAGACCTGGAATTTCAAGAACAAGAGGTCATAGATTTAAACTAGCTAAACACAGATGCCGAAGAAATATAAGAAAATTCACCTTCGCAAATAGAGTGGTAGACGGTTGGAACAAGTTAAGTGAGAAGGTGGTGGAGGCCAAGACCGTCAGTAGTTTCAAAGCATTATATGACAAAGAGTGCTGGGAAGACGGGACACCACGAGCGTAGCTCTCATCCTGTAACTACACTTAGGTAATTACACTTAGGTAATTACACTCACTCTCTCTCACACACACACACACACACACACACACACACACGAGAGTATGTGTTTATCCCAGCAGTAGGAATGGTGCTAACCACATAGTTAATCAAATCATTGATACTAAAACCACATTCCTTTGATAAAGAGTTGGGTAATGCCAGAGAGGAATGCTGGCTGGTGTGTGGTGTTGACAGCGGTGGCTCTGACGCCTTCTACACCGTATTTTCACAAACCAAACAATTCGTGAATACAGGACTCCACACTCTAGGGCTCTAGGCAGTGATTTCCTGCCAGAGTTCCGTTGAACACTCTTGTTGTTGTAGAAGATTCAGCTACTCGGAACAAATGTTCCAAGCAGCACGGGCTATGGTGAACCCGTGTATATATATATATATATATATATATATATATATATATATATATATATATATATATATATATATATATATATATATATATATATGTCGTACCTAGTAGCCAGAACGCACTTCTCGGCCTACTATGCAAGGCCCGATTTGCCTAATAAGCCAAGTTTTCCTGAATTAATATATTTTCTCTAATTTTTTTCTTATGAAATGATAAATCTACCCTTTTCATTATGTATGAGGTCAATTTTTCTTTATTGGAGTTAAAATTAACGTAGATATATGACCGAACCTAACCTAACCTATCTTTATAGGTTAGGTTAGGTTAGGTAGCCGAAAAAGTTAGGTTAGGTAGTCGAAAAACAAATAATTCATGAAAACTTGGCCTATTAGGCAAATCGGTCCTTGCATAGTAGGCTGAGAAGTGCGTTCTGGCTACTAGGTACGACATATATATATATATATATATATATATATATATATATATATATATATATATATATATATATATATATATATATATATATATATATATATATATATATACAACTTTAGAACACTTTCCCACCAGGAGACTCGAACCCTAGCCAGCACAGAAGCCTTCCAGCGGTGGTGCAGAGGGTTAAGGCGTACCTGTTATGCCAGTTGCTGGAAGGCTTCTGTGCTGGCTAGGGTTCGAGTCTCCTGGTGGGAAAGTGTTCTAAAGTTGTATACTTAACTCTCGTGTTTAGGAGAGTTGTGCCTTAAGCAGAGACACTGTGTCTTCCCATATTAACAGGGACTTGATGAAATTAACGTCTAAATGACCCCTCACTTGCTCTGGTGCTCTTGGGAGGTGTTAATCTTTGGGGTATTTAAATACTCCGAAATTACCATCTCTTTTAAGGGTCTGAGCGGTGGTGCAGAGGGTTAAGGCGTACCTGTTATGCCAGTTGCTGGAAGGCTTCTGTGCTGGCTAGGGTTCGAGTCTCCTGGTGGGAAAGTGTTCTAAAGTTGTATACTTAACTCTCGTGTTTAGGAGAGTTGTGCCTTAAGCAGAGACACTGTGTCTTCCCATATTAACAGGGACTTGATGAAATTAACGTCTAAATGACCCCTCACTTGCTCTGGTGCTCTTGGGAGGTGTTAATCTTTGGGGTATTTAAATACTCCGAAATTACCATCTCTTTTAAGGGTCTGAGCGGTGGTGCAGAGGGTTAAGGCGTACCTGTTATGCCAGTTGCTGGAAGGCTTCTGTGCTGGCTAGGGTTCGAGTCTCCTGGTGGAAAAGTGTTCTAAAGTTGTATACTTAACTCTCGTGTTTAGGAGAGTTGTGCCTTAAGCAGAGACACTGTGTCTTCCCATATTAACAGGGACTTGATGAAATTAACGTCTAAATGACCCCTCACTTGCTCTGGTGCTCTTGGGAGGTGTTAATCTTTGGGGTATTTAAATACTCCGAAATTACCATCTCTTTTAAGGGTCTGAGCGGTGGTGCAGAGGGTTAAGGCGTACCTGTTATGCCAGTTGCTGGAAGGCTTCTGTGCTGGCTAGGGTTCGAGTCTCCTGGTGGGAAAGTGTTCTAAAGTTGTATACTTAACTCTCGTGTTTAGGAGAGTTGTGCCTTAAGCAGAGACACTGTGTCTTCCCATATTAACAGGGACTTGATGAAATTAACGTCTAAATGACCCCTCACTTGCTCTGGTGCTCTTGGGAGGTGTTAATCTTTGGGGTATTTAAATACTCCGAAATTACCATCTCTTTTAAGGGTCTGAGCGGTGGTGCAGAGGGTTAAGGCGTACCTGTTATGCCAGTTGCTGGAAGGCTTCTGTGCTGGCTAGGGTTCGAGTCTCCTGGTGGGAAAGTGTTCTAAAGTTGTATACTTAACTCTCGTGTTTAGGAGAGTTGTGCCATATATATATATATATATATATATATATATATATAATATATCGTTGAACACTGATGCTCCGTGAGCTCGCGTGTGCGCTCATTTTTGTGCGTGAGTTCAGAATTTGCAACAGCTTTCGAACAAAAAGTACAACTTGCAACCGTTTTGTAATTTAGTAAAGAAATTTAAATTTATTTAGATTTAAACTTAACCTATTAATACAACAAAATATGCGACCACGAATTAAGTTGTGTTAAAAAAATCAAGCCCAATGTTCACATTAAATTTGGAGACAATTGGAATAAATGCTGTGATACTGAACCAATACCATGTAACTTTTTAATTTCGTCGGTAACATCTTTATAAACAAATTATATTAAATCAAAATCATTCAGAATATACACAATGTTTGTAACCAGTAAGGCAGATGTGCAGTAAAAAATTTTCTTTATCTTTAGTAATAGTAATTTTTTTTTATCTTTAAATTTTTCTTTATCTTTAGTAATAGTAATTAATAAATAGTAATAGGCCATGTGTTCTTGTATTATTTATTTAAAAAATGAGTTAATTATTATTTATTAACCTTGCTGCTTTACGCGTCTGTTTTGTAATTTACCTGTACTTGACTAGTACTCACCTAGTTGTGCTTGCGGGGCTTGAGCTCTGGCTCTTTAGTCCCGCCTCTCACCTGTCAATCAACTGGTGTACAGGTTCCTGAGCCTATTGGGCTCTGTCATATCTACACTTGGAATTGTGTATGGTGTCAGCCTCCACCACAGTGTCGAAGCTTGTGTGTCAGCCTAGTATAGGAACTCTCCAAGATTTTACGAAATATTTCAAAGGTTCTTCCAAACATTAAAGGTTGAGAATCACTGCTCTAATGTACCCCTAATTGTTTTGATTCACTTAATGATTCCCCCATAATAGGTAGTCTTTTAGGGTTATCGTGGTTTCCAATAGGCCAACTGCTTACTTTCCCAAGAGAACATATACGGCACGCATTGACGAAATAAAGCACCTAAATTATTGGGATCGTCTCAAAGCTCTCCAAATGTACTCACTAGAAAGGAGACGAGAGAGATACCAAATAATATACACATGGAAAATACTGGAGGGACAGGTCCCAAATCTGCACAGTAAAAGAACAACGTTCTGGAGTGAACGACATGGAAGAAAATGCAGAATAGAACCAGTGAAGAGCAGAGGTGCCATAGGCACAATCAGAGAACACTGTATGAACATCAGAGGTCCACGGTTGTTCAACGTCCTCCCAGCGAGCATCAGAAATATTACAGGAACAACCGTGGACATCTTCAAGAGGAAACTAGATGGTTTCCTTCAAGGAGTGCCGGACCAGCCGGGCTGTGGTGGGTATGTGGGCCTGCGGGCCGCTCCAAGCAACAGCCTGGTGGACCAAACTCTCACAAGTCAAGCCTGGCCTCGGGCCGGGCTTGGGGAGTAGAAGAACTCCCAGAACCCCATCAACCAGGTAAGGCAGCAACCCACAAGTTGCCTTACTCACCAGTACCTATTTACTGCTAGGTGAACAGAGACATATGTTCATATGTCTAGCAATTGATTGATGAAGATTAAGCCACCCAAAAGGTGGCACGGGCATGAATAACCCGTAAGTGGTGGCCCTTTTGAGCCATTACCAGTATCAATAGCTGATACTGGAGATCTGTGGAGGTGCGACTGCACCCTGGGTGACGGGAGATGTCTCCCCGTGATGTCTAGCGACTATATAAAATACAAATACAAATATTTATTCAGGTAAAGTACATACATACAAGGTAACATACAAAAAGTTGATGGATTTATAGATAGAGCTAGTATATACAATGCCTAAAGCCACTATTACGCAAAGCGTTTCGGGCAGGAAAAACACATAAGTATTGTATGTACTAGTTCTATCTATAAATTCAACATTATGTTTGTAACTATTCATCTATGTATGTACTTTTACCTTAATAAAATTTTGAATTTAAATTTGAATTTGTACATTTTAGAAATGTGAGTATACGAAATATATGAAACAAGGACACTAGTTATGTATTTTATGGTAGTGTGCGAAACGTTGTTATACGAAATGACTGTAATGTCGAAATATTTGTTGGAAAAAATAGTACTTGGAACCCTCTTATTTACGTCGCTTAATTGTTAAATATTACCTTAAGGCATAGAAGAATATGGGAAAATTTTAAATATATCACAACATATGATAACTCTTCTAACAGTTTATTTATAGGATTAAAATACTAGCTGCCGAGCTTTTCTACATTACAATAAAACAAAAACCCACTGTGGCTTAACATTAGCGGGGCAGGAGGCCGAGTGCTGGCCATGCTGCTGCCGCATGGAACGAATTAAATCTTCACCTGGGGATTTTTGTTTAGTGTTTTGCATTCCCACGCTCGTGTTAATGTCCATTGCAGCGAAGTGGGTGCTTATGGTCTGTGTTGTAGATGCCCCTAACTTGATAACAATAACTCATATGAGGGCGACGTGCAGGTGATTGGAGTTGAGGTGACCTGACTCTCACAGAAGAAGAGGAACACGTGCACGGTATAAGGAACACGTGCACGGGTATAGGACAGGTGTGATGGTGGTGGTCGTGGTAGTTCAACTCAAGTTCCTATTGTTGGTGCTGTCACTGGACGCCTAAAGGTGTGTGATGTTGTTTAATATTGGTTAGTAAAGCTTTCATGTAGTTTTCTTAGCTAATAGAGGGAAATACAATATATACCTCATATATGTGGATACAAGTTTTATAGTACTCAAGATGGTTCACCAACATTTTTAAAATTTACCTAACCTTACCAAACACAACATAACCCAACCTAACCCAACCTAACCTAACCTAACCTAACCTAACCTAACCTAACCTAACCTAACCTAACCTAACCTAACCCAACTCAGCCTTACTCAACCCAAGCTAACTCTAAGTGAACCCAACACACCCTAACCTAATGATGTATATAAATATTTTTGTTTAATAAGTTATCAAGATGTTTTCAACAATATTCTTTTGGTGTTCGTCTATTCCAACATGGGCAACCATTTTGGGAACGCGATAATGGATTGAACAAATCCACAAGGGCCGTGACGATAAGGACGACAATGGGTTGATCCATCCCATAGTTGGGTCTGATTCTAACAGGGGTTCGACCATATACAAGTTTAACAATAAGCCTCCGTGGGATTTGACTATATCCCCTTTTGCTCCACTGAGGATTACCAGAAGTTGTCAGTGATAATTGCTCACTTGATCATCAGGAATCGAATGGCAACCTGCAAAAAAGTGAGACTTGCTGTACGAACCGGCCCATAGACGATTACTGTAACAATGTGGTCCTGGTAGGAGTGTTGGATTCATACTTGAAGCTTCTTACATTTAACAAATGAAATGGATGGATTTTGCTGTGAATGGCCAACATGTGGAAATGCTGACCCTCTTTAAATTTTATGAATTTGTGTAAAAGTGACATATCCTACAATAACTTTGTTTAATATACTGAATAGGAATGTTATTAGATGCAAAATACTTAAGTTTGTATTATTCCTACTTAAATCTTATATCCTTTCTTCAGAAAATGGGTGTACGCGGCCTCTCAACATACATTCGTGAACATCTAAGTGAAGCTTTGGAAAGACACAAACTCCATCATTGCAATGTTATTATCGATGGAAATAATTTAGCTCACATCCTGTATTTTGCATGCACTGGAATTAATGCCTCATTTGGTGGAGATTACGACAAATATGCCAGCTATGTGGAAAAGTACTTTGAAGGGTAAGTGGGTCAGTGTAGTGTATTATGAAAATTTGTATTAGTTTCCAGTGTTTTTCTGTCTTTGCAGTTAAATAAAATTCTGTAAAGATATTAAAATATATTTATATATAATTAAATACAGGTACTGTGCAGATACGATGGGTACTTTTCCAGATACAGTATTTTGTTATTTACAGACTTCAACAATGGAATAATTTTAGTAATTTTATGGATTTCCAAATAATGAATTGTTAATTTTTTGTTACCAAATATTCTGTTTCTAATGAAATAGTGTAACACATTTACTCTTTCTCTTTCAGTTTACAATCATGTGAAATCTATTCCATTGTTGTGATGGATGGCGGGCAGCCATTGGATATGAAGAAGCTGAGAACAGTACGACAGAGGATTCAAAACCAGATCCAGATGTGCATTCGTGTTGAACCTAGCAACCAGTACAAATCAAAAATATTTCCCTGCATGGGACGCCAAGTTTTTGTTACAACATTGCAAAGAATGGGAATAACAGTTGTACAAACAGATTTTGAGGCAGATGAAGAAATTGCTATGTTGTCCAAAATACTTGGTTACACTGTCCTAAGTAATGACTCTGATTTCTACATGTATGATGTGCCTCTGGTCATGCTTGACTCCACCACGAACCAGAAAATCAGCACATCAAAGAACAAGAAGCCTATAGAGAACTACAAATATTTGTCGTGCTACCATTTCAGTGTGGACAAATTTTGTGAGGTACGTGCATGTGTGTAGTCTCGGTACCTATTTTGCTATACTATACAGTACCTGATTTGTATATTCATCCACATTCTACTTTATACAGGAAGATGGTTCATGCAAAATTTAATCCCAACGCTACAATGACTATATCGCAGCAGTTGTCTCTACTTATTCTTACAACACCTTTTTTTCTAAGCCACAGTAACTATATATCTCAGCAGCTATTTAGACTGCCCACCCCATCCTCCAAATGTTTGGAGAGGGTGGGGTAAACGAACGTGAGCTGGATAAAAAAAAAATTCAGTTGTTTGTTTATCTACTTAGGGGAAGTTCTATGGCTGTTTTTGAGTCTGCAGATAGAGGAAGTTGCCAGCTGTTGTCTGTTTTGTCTCGCTGACTTTCTGGGTGCCTTCCCTGGTGGTAGCATATAAAAAAGACAAATAACATTGCTCCCTGCACCTTTGTGAGGAGACCAGATTCTGGCTCTGGATCTTGGGTAGGCCAGAGAACTCCATGACTGATGGCAACTTTTAGACATTTCACACATCAGAGATGTTAGCTACAGGAAGCCACAACTGGGCTCTTCCCGGAAAGTAAGATTCATAGAGAAAGCAAATTAAAAAATGGGGGTTGAGACCTACCTTATGTTGTAATGACTCTCACCTCCTGGATGTCAAATCCTTGAGCGCTGAGCTGCTTCTGTCCAAGATCTGTAGTGAGTTAATGTTGCAGCAGTTAGGCAGCTCACTTTATACAATGATCAGCTCAAAGGTAAATTGCCCCACAAATTACAGTGACAGAAGATGAGACAAAAGTAAAATTTGACTTCCAGAATTGTATTTTTCTTAGCTTGAGACTTATTAGCCTGAGGTTGAATTAACTAAACAATGATGTAATTGGAAAAGTCAAACCTTAAAAAAAGGATTTAGAACACTTGGGTTGTAAAAAAACTTCATAGAGATATCATGCTTAAAAACTGCTAAGTAATATTGTACCTAAATCTCCTGCCGGGATGTATGGTGGATTAGAACTCTAGGCAGTCTTGGCTGCCATCTAGTGGTGCTCAGTCAAGTTGGAGCTAGGGATGTTCATGCGTATATCAATTATCATTTGTTTCCCTCATTTCATTTCATTTCTTTCAAGCAGTTGTCTGTTTTGTTTTGTCTGGACTTGCTGCTCAGTTTTTCTTATTTTTTGGGTCGATCTCTGGTTCCCATTCTCCCCTCACTTTGTTGAGTGAACCAAATTCTGGTCCTAGTTCCCAGTAGGCCAGCATAAGTCTCATAGGCTTGGTATAACCTGAAAGTTAATTGGTGCTAGTGTTTGAGCTCCAGGGAGCTACTGAGGGAGCATATCAAGAAATAAGTCTGAAACATTATCAACCTATAACTATGAAATATATAAAATATTGTTGGGAGATGACTATATTTGATTATTGTACAGTACAGTACTGTCCTTTAAAAAAAATAATGAGAGTTTTGATGGTTATGAATAAATCCACAAGGGCCATGATGAGGGTTTGAACCTACGTCTGGGATCATCCCGGATGTAGGTTCGAACCCTCATCATGGCCCTTATAGATTTGTTTATTTGATGTATTACGCTATTGTGATTTCTGTGTGTTTTGATGGTTATGTTGGCTGATGAAGCAGTCTACAGTTAAACCTTGCTTTATGTTCACTATAGGATTAGCACTCAAAATGATGATCAGGTAACCTAAATATGTAGGTAGCCATGGAAAAAAGTTTCCATTTTCACTTGTTTATTACTTAATTTTTTAATTTATTTGCTCATACATGTATATTTATTATCTGCTATCACTAATTTTTATTTTCATTTTAGTTAACAAAGATGGACCGTGCTCATCTGCCTCTTCTTGCAACTTTGTTAGGTAATGACTATTTATCAATGGAAGTCTTTACTGACTTCTATGCCCAGCTGGGAGAGGGAAGAAAAGCTACCAGAATGTCAGATCGCCATAAGATAATAAAGGACGTCATCACTTGGTTAGCAAACCGAAAAGGACAGAGCATGGAATACCTCGTCAGTGTTGTAAGTAATCAGAGTTCAGAAAATGATACATTTACCCCATTTACCCATTTTTTGGATAAATAGTAACTATGAAGCAATAAAGAAATATTGAATCAATGGGATTTATTAGATTTATTATAGTTTTCTTGAGTTGTAATGTATCTCTCCATCATATTATTTTTAATTGAGCATTGTTGATAAACAGAAGTAAATAGGTTGTATTTAGTTGAACATATAATTTGGCATTGAAAAATATGTTTACAGATGCTTAGTAAAAAAAAAATTTGGTAGATCAGCAGTTTACTTTTCTTGTTTAGTACTGTGTATATTTTAAGGCGTGATTTTGATATTACATACTAAAATTACACTTATACAACGGTTTTAGTATACAGTATAATACAGAGAGCTTTATTATTCAGACCATTTGGTGCCTCCAGATGTCCATAAAACTGAAAATCTGGATGATAATAAAAATTGCCAGACATAAATTTTAGGATACATGTGCTAAAATTTTAAGATACATGTGCTAAAAATACCTGCAGTTGTTTTAATGGCAATGCACCATTGTATATGGAATCCCATAGTCCTGCACAGGAAGCTTATCTGTCTCACAGAGGTCTGCCTACACCAACTACTGACCTTCCTCAGGATGTAACCCACAACAGTTGTCCAACTCCCATACCTATTTACTGCTAGGTGGATAGAGGCATTAGGTAAAAGGAAACATTGCCCAAACGTTTCTATCCTGCTGCAGGAATTGAAGTAAAAGAGGGTTCCTGGAGAAAAAGACGAAAAATGTAGGCAAGCTCCTTCCTGTCAATTGCCAATATACAACAAAAAAGTATGCTGCCTTTTCAAGGACAATAAGGGGTCATCCACCAGCCAGGAGTTAGCTGGAACTTCATTCTGCAGCCAAAAAGTGGAAGACAACCCAAAAATACAAGAGTTTGGGCTCATGGCAGAATCTGGAACATTTCTGCCCAAACCACATCCAGTTTTTTTTTTCCTTGGGTGATCTCTCTGCATGGTCCCAAGGTTTTATGTGACTTGTACTTGGGTTAGGGTGGTTTGCCTTGGCATCTCAGGTATTAGACCCAGGGGGATGATGTTCATTACCAGAGGAGTTGTGTCAATTTGCTGCTCCCTAAGTTGCAGATTTGCATCCGAGATGGGATCTTTGTACTTAGTATGTATATGAGAACACTGTATAAACATCAGAGGTCCATGGTTGTTCAACATTCTCCCAACGAGTATTGCCGGAAGAATCGTGGACATCTTCAAGAGAAAACTAGATAGTTTTCTACATGTCGTGCCGGACCAACCGGGCTGTGGTGGATATGTGGGCCTGCAGGCCTTTCGAAGCAACAGCCTGTTGGACCAAGCTCTCACAATTCGAGCCTGGCCTTAGACCAGTCTTGGGAAGTAGAAGAACTCCCAGAAACCCATCAAGCAGATATATCCCTCTTGTTTGCCTCTGACCAGTTGTTCTGCATGTCCCATAATCTTTTTTGACTCCACATCCGTTGCCTTCCAGGTGAAGTGCCATGAGTTCTTGGGTAGCACTCCCAGTCATTGTAGTGGCGTTCTGGCAATTTACGCTGGGGGTCCTCAGGCCTGTAATTATGGGCCATGGACCCATGCTGGTTGCCCCAGGCTGTGAGTTCCTACCTTCTGGTCTAGTGACCAGGGCTGTTGGCTTTGGGTTTCCAGTACTTGCTTCCACTTCTTTAGAGGAGTAGGTTACTGTTGTTGTTTTTTTGGTTTTTGTTGCTTATTTTATTGGCCTCTGTTGGCTGGGGAGTACCTGTGTTGTTTGGGTCAGAGGTCTGTTATACCAGGGGTTCGGTGCTCCTTTCTGGCCATTTTACTGATTTTAGGAGCAGCATCTAGGTTTCAGTTTTGAACCAATGTTCATCCTCTTATTGAATTTCCTGCTAGTGTCTGGTTCATGGGGCCCCTCTGGATATTTCTTTCCCAATTTTTCCTCAGCCCTGATGCTCTTCTTTTCAACTTGGCTGTGGTCTGGTCTGGTACATTGTCAGGGTGCCGCCTTCCCTCTGGTGGTCATCTGTTGTTTGGCTTTTTCCCATGGTTGTTTCTTTTCCACTTTAAGGCTGTCAGACTGCCTGTTCATGGTAAGAGCCATTTTGCTGCATTTTATGCCTTTTTTCTCTCTGCTGCATTTTCTGAGCATGTAAGCTTCTTTGTACCAATGTTTTTGGCTGATGATTATATTCTGCCAGCTACATTCTTCCCTCACTCACATAATTGTGTGTATATGCTGTTGGCTTTTGTTCATACTTCTTTAGGTTTTTAGGTGTTCTTCCCATGCACAAGTTTTGGGTTAAGTATGCAATCTTGATAGCATTCTTATAGTTATGTGGATAGCCATTTGGGGAGATATAGGCAGTGCCTTGATGGCCTCTACGATGGCATAGTTAAGAGAGCTACTGCCGGATCTTGCCCAGAACCAGAGCATTGAGGTTAGTGGAAGACCCCTTACTTGACAGAACATTAGTAATTCTCATTCCCACCCTGGAATCCCTGTCTTCCCCATGTTGTTCTGGTGGATTAAATCCAAGGTAAGTTGTAATCCTCCACCCTTTTAGTTAGTAGGCCCACCAGGGTAGTTGGGTAGTGGTGTTTCACTAGTTTCAAAAAGTGGTTTGGTGGCTTAGCATTTCCAAACAACTATCAGGTGGAGTTTGAATATTTTGAAGCACTTTTATGTGTTAAAGTATAAATAAATGTTTATTCAGGTAAAAGTACATACATACAAGATGAGTTACAAACAGAATGTTTCGATTTCTATATAGAGCGAGTATATATTATGCGTAAAGCCACTAATACGCACAGCGTTTCGGGTAAGCTGTGGAAAAAACACTTAGACTAAAACTTAAAACTGTTTTAAGTTTTAAGTAGGTGATTAATCTCAGTTATGTGCTGTATCTTTGATCTCCATGAGATTTCCTACCTAGTTGAGGATAAATAACTTAAATTTAAAGGTTATTTTTCCCCTGTAGGTAAAATAGTCATCCAAGGCTTAATGTGATCTGTGTCCTAGGGGTGGTCTGTGCTACTGGACTAAACCTACTGAGATTTGGCTCTGAAATGGGTGTTTCATCACACTCATCATTCTGTTTTGGGGTCAGAAGTAGGACCTGGGACGCCATATATATAGAACCTGTTTTTTAGCACTGTATAATGATTTAAATTATATCCTGATTAATAAGTAGACTCAGTCATTCTTACACGCCACATAGTTTATCCCAAACTAATTCGTTCAAAGGCCTCGTTAATCACATTCTTTTATGGGTTAGTCTCAGACTGGAAAAGCTGTTGAATTTTTTTAAATTTGAACTAATGTTGTTAAATTTGTAATTAAATGTTTTTTCAACAGGTATCTCAAGTTGCTGGAAAGAAGAAATTAAAACAGAAGATTTTACAGTCTGTGAATCACTATACTGAAATGAAAACCAATCTCTTGAATTATCTTAATCCAGATGGACTGATTAAATCTCATTCTTCCTTGCACAGTGATAGTTCTCTTGCTGGAAGAAGTCTACTTAAAGAAACTGCATTAATAAAGAGCTCTGAGGTAGAAACAGCTTTAATTTTAAAGAATGGGAAAAAGCTACCAGCATGGTTTATGGAAGCCTACCGTACGCATAGGATTCCGCATGAGGTGGCAGATATTTTGACACAGAGCTATTTTATTTCACCTCCACAAGTAGAAGATATATCAGCTGAGAGTTCATATTTGGTTGTGGAGCCAATTGTTAGATCAGTGTGCAGATTGCTATGGCAGGATGTCAGCACTCATGATTACAATCATAAATATCATTATGGATGTAAAGATAAAGATGGCGAACTACTCGCCGGAATGAATGATCTGTCGATAAGTGTTGATCAGTATTATGATCCATGCACTTCCAATGAAATGTATGATTCTGATGTTGTGATTGAGGAAGATGAAGAGGACAGTGATGATCAGTGCACCTTAGATAAAAGTGATGATTCTGATTTCTTCTTGCCAAAAATTGATGAAACAAACTTGAAACATATCACAAATAATGAAGTTGATGAAATACATCAAACTGAGAACTTGAGTGGAGAGCATGTAATAGGTGTGAATGAAAACTGTGAGCTAAATGAAGAGGTTAATGAAAAAGAAAGAGAAAAGAAAGTATCTGAAGATAAGTGTAAACTAGGTGTGAATAAGAAAACAAAGGTGCAGTATCTGAAGTGGTATTTGAGAAAAAATAACAGGATATGGATAAAAAACCTTTCGTTTTTGTCTGACGAGAAAGCAAATAAGTTGCCTTCTCTCGATGATGTAACTTCTATGTCTGTCTTTGACAAGAAAAAGGTATTCTATTCTGTATTTGAAACAAATACTGAATTCACAGATCTTGATTTGCCTGGAGATTTGGAGCTGATCCTTGACTTCATCATCTTCTGGTTCAGAAGAAGCAAGCTACCTCTGAAGGACTGTCATGCCTTAGCAGTTTTAATGTGTATTTTCATGTATTACATTATTGACAGTAAAATAGGAAGGGTCAGAACGAGGAAAGCATTTGAAGTTGTAGATACCTGTAAAACTAAAATTTCAGACTTCCAAAATGATGCATCTTACTCATGGCCTGATGCTGGGGTGAAGGATCTCCTGGCCCATACATCGGACGAGGAATGCCTAGTAGCTGCTTTTAACCTCTTTCAATTTCATCACCAAGATCCAAGGGTCACCGATAAGTACTACAGCCGAAAGACAGTCCATGCTTTTTGTGAATACCAGGCATGCATATATTTCTTGCAGCTCTTAAACAGTTTATTGTGCTTGCCTTTTCCTATGCTTAGTGTCGAATGCCTTTGGGGTGGAACTTTCTGCTACAATATTTTCTCTGACCTTAAAAGGAGGTCTAACCCAGTAGTTCGAATTACAGAGCTATTGGGGAAAGGAACTTGTCTTCAAAGATTATTTCTTATACTTTTTAAGAGGCTAGGTGAAACTCTGAACTTCAAGAAGAGCGTTGATATGGTAGAGGTGGTGCAGAATTCAAAGTTACCTAAGAAGAAAAGTAAAGAAGAAAACAAGATAACAGAACAGAAAACCACAAAAAATATCAAGATTAACAAACAAGAAAACATAAATGTGAAGGTCACTAAACAAGGGAACAAAAATACCAAAATCAGTGAACAAGATATAAATACCAAGATCAGTGAAAATGTAAAACAAAATGCAGTGAATACTCAGACTATGTCTTCTAAAAATGACAAACAACAGTTGACAAGAGATGGAAAGCTTTCAGCAAAAGAAAAAAACAAGAAAAAGAGAAGAAGAGAACAGTTGCAAAAAGAGAGAGAGAAGGGACAGAACGATAAGAGTGCAAGTAACGAACAATTAAAAGATCAGGAAAGAGTAGGTGAAGAGAATGTATACCTTCTTGAAAATCGTTTTGCTGAGCTTGTATCTGATCCAGGACCTGTGTGTGTTGACTAACCTGCAAGGTAGAGCAGTATTGCTTGCTAGTTATACACTGATGGCTGAGTGGATAGCGCTCGGGATTCGTAGTCCTAGGGTCCGGGGATTGATCCCGGCGGAGGCAGAAACAAATGGGCAGTTTCTTTCACCCTGATGCCTCTGTTTACCTAGCAGTAAATAAGTACCTGGGAGTTAGACAGCTGCTATGGGCTGCTTCCTGTGTGTGTGTGTGTGTACTCACCTAGTTGTGCTTGTGGGGGTTGAGCTCTGGCGCTTTGGTTCCGCCTCAACTGTGTGTGTGCGAAAATAAAAACCAGTTGATTAATTGACAGTTGAGAGGTGGGCTCAACCCCCACAAGCACAACTAGGTGAATACAATGTGATAATATGAATATAAAAAACCAGTATTGAATGGAATGAAAGGTCAGTTGCAAAGGTCTAGAGGTTCACTGAAGCTGTCACGCTGTGATGGCTCCCAGCTACTTGGTCAGCCATGGAGTTCTTAGGTCTACAGGGGACCAGGGCCAGAACTTGACCCCCCCCCGATGACCCGGAAGGGAGGGAGGGAATTAGGGAGCCATTGGAGCTCACCCAAGAAATTGGAATTTCATTATACAGTATTCAAGGATGGTTTTCCAGGGGAAGTCCCATTGTGGCTCCCTGAAGCTAAATTAGTACAAGGGTAGCAGTAGGGGACCACATGCATCTCCAAGGTTGCTATAAAGCCAGGATCACACTACACCAAATTGTACTCAGAATACTACAAAGGGCAAAGTTCCAAAACACTTAGCTGAAAAGCAGTGGAATCCGCTCAGTCGAGATGTGACCTTGGGTCCCTACAGCATTTGTGTGTGTGTGAACGCATCCGCATAAAAACTGATGGCTCGGGCCCCTGAATTATGTGAGCTCCCCCACCCCAAACAAGTGGGGGGCTATGAACAAGCACACACTAGTGTAGAGAGTTACGATTGTTTGTACATAGTTGAGAGAGTTCATTAGGCGAATTGCGAGGCCTCAGTTTCTCATAAAACCTAGCAGTGGTCTGTTTTGGTTTGCTGACTTTGGATGTCTTTTCTGATGAGGTGGTAGAGTGCCATCTGTTCTCTGCACCTCTTGTGGGTGGGGCCAGATTCTGGCTCTGGTCTCCTAGTAGGTTTTAGAACTCCTCAGCTGGTGCGGCCCAGTAATTAGGAGCCATCTCAGCAAGATAGCTTCAGGAAGTCACAAGGTGGGCTTTCCACAGAAAATTATGCTGGTGCTGCTTGAACTATTTTCAAAAGTTGTCCACAGGTTACTACAAAATGGTATTGCTTACGGTAATAAGTGGGGAAAATGTTACCCTAGATTGGTGATACAGTTGTTTACAGAATTTAAGGTTCAACAACGAGACTGAATTGGTATTGCACAAAAATCATTGATTGACACAATGGTAAAACAGCATTATAACCTTTATACTATATACGTACTGTATTTTGTATAAATGTTGAAGGCTATTGTAATTCAGCCTTTAACCATAAATCTCAGACATTTCTTCTATTCCCACATTATATTGGGTCAGTTGGCACTATATGGAGTTTTGAGCATAACATATTTAGTAGTATGTATATCAGTACAAAGTAAATAAATAAATAGTTTAATAAAAAGAGGCAATTTTATTGAAATTATATATTTTAATTAATTTTTGTGATGTAAACAGAATTAAAGGTCAGTCCTTATTTTGTAAGTAAAAGTAATAGTAGTACAGATGTAATAAGAATATGGAATTGCATTAATGTAATTGGTGGTACAGATGGGAGAAAAGGAAAGTGTAATTGTTAATGTTCTTGAAAACAGAAACATATTGAAGCATATGTAAAACATGAAACATACAGTATGTGTATCTGTATGCAATATGAAAGCACCAAAAGGAATATTTGAAAATTTGTCTGATTTTGTGATAGTACAAGACCTCTTGTAAATATAAATAAACAAAATACAATGTAAGATAAAAATTGAATGTCAAATGAATAACAGGGTGTTACAAAAATCCAAAAGGTGAAAGAATAAAAGTCGAGTTAAACAGTCAGTTCGAAAGGAGAGTTGATAAACTTGAGTGATGTGGGGTGTATACGAGGAGTGTTTGGTCGAGACTGCCAGATGTGTGTGTTGTTGCATAACCTAGTGGAAGAAAGAAGGGGAAGAGCTGGTGGGATGAGGAAGTGGCACAGTGAAAGCACTCGAGGGAAGAGAAGCAAGCAAGGCCAGGAAGGAAACTTGTGGAAAAGGCCAATTAGAGTGATCAATATAGTAGTAAGCATCCATCAGTCTGAGGAGACTATGGAGTTGTGCTCTGGTTGTCGGTCTGGAGTGGCCTCACTGTAACATGAATAAACTTGTAAGAGTATTGTTATTAAAGATGATAATAATAATAATAATTATGGATAAGCATATATTGTTAAAGGCAACTGCTAATTAATATAATTTTATACAGAATATATGTTTACACATGTATAATCTCTAATGTTTGTATATGCAACGCTTTCTATGTGGGTGTCTCCTTATCCATAATTCCCCTTAAATGTTATAAAAATGGAAATTAGGGTAACAATGATTATAATTTTAATTCTCTAAATTGGCTCTATTTAATTTTATCTTGAAATTTTGATTTTGGAGTGTGTTAAATGATATACAATATTGTAAATTTTAGCCTATTAACAAAATTGGTATACAGTAGTAGTTTAATTTACCTTTTATATTAAATTTTATCAGAAGAAAGTTTTAGTACTCACCTGCTGACCTTTATATTCCTGCCAGTGTGTGGTTATATTTTTATAGAGACATTGCTCATCCATTTATTATAATGAAATGTAATCATCTGAGACACATAATTGCAGAACGACTTCAATTTAGTCCTAATTGTTACTAATTTAATTTAATTGTGTATTTGTACTGATTTGTGCTCTTTTGTGTGGCATAATTTTGAATATATACTGTATTACAGCACACTTAATATCATTGTTTACAGATAAAAAAAAAAGAGCTTAAAATACAGGACTGTATTTGTATTTAATAAACTATCTTTAGTAGCAGTTGTGTATTTCTATACTCACTTAGTTGTACTTATGGGGGTTGAGCTTTGGCTCCTTGGCCCTGCCTCTCGACTGTCAATGGTATTGTATTGTAGTATTGACCATCATGAGTGAGCTGCAGTGTGATCAACTTTCAACCGATTGATCTTCTTGTGACTACATTTCTTGACTCAGTGCTTCTGTTCACCCAGCAGTAAATAGGTTGTTGTTGTTTAAGATTTAGCTACTAGGAACAAAAGTTCCAAGCAGCACGGGCTATGGTGAGCCCGTAGTGGACTCATTAGTAAATAGGTACCCGAGTGTTAGTCAACTGTTTGGGAGTGTCAGTCATTGGCTAGATGGTCTTAATAAGCCTATAGTAATTTTATCTCCAACCATGGAAAAAACGAAATTCCATGGGAAGTGTGCAATACAGTACTAGTTACATGATGAATGAGGATAATGATCCACATTTATGAAGTCATAAACAGATAAAAATAGTTGTTTTAATCAGTGCAAAGTCAAGCACATGCAGTTAAAAAAATGGCACTTTATTCCACTAGATGGCTGCCATGCACTTATTATTATTAATAACATCTTTATTGAAAAAATTAATTATAATTTTGCCTAATCTGAGGATTTTGATATTAAAGTCTTCAATATTAAAGTGAGGATAATGCTGGTATTCACTGTCACGCAGGACAGAGGGTCATACACAAGACAATAGGTCTAAACTGTAGGCTGAAGCACATATATATCATGCTTACAATCAATGTTTTAATGTATGGATATGTGAAAAACAACACTGTACCAGTTTTGAAGCAGTCATCCCCTAACATTGGTTGAGTCACAATTTTCTTTAAAAGTCAAATTTAGACACAACCATTTTCTTTGACTAGAAGAGGGACCCATTAGAGCCCCCTATTGATCAGGTGGAGGGCAGCATGCAGGACTGGTGTCAGTGCCTGACCAGCAGCCAGTGCAGGTACACATCACTGCACACTCTTGCTCAACCAACACACCAGGATTAGAACCACACGTTTGACGCTCCTCTATATAGAACCTGTGTAGTTCTATTGCTTTCACACGCCTAAGGTAAGAGTTGAGACGTGGTTTTTTCCCCTATATACAGAACAAAATGTGTCGAATTATATGTTGTTTCCAAAGTTGCAGAAGTGCTATTAAAGCATTTATATCCATAAGGAAATATTATGAATCTTGGCTACTCATTCCAGAGTTAACATTAGACAAGAACTACCTTTATTTATTTATTTATATAAATATACAAGAAGGTACAGTGGGATTGTGAGGATACATAGCATAGTAATTACAATCTTGTAAACTCATTGGAGTACTGTAACCATATTGTTATGCAATACAGTATATTTCCTTTCATAATCTATATAGTTTATATTCAACTATATCGCTGTCATAAGGCTTGGTGTGGTGTTGTACTAGAAGCCAATTCACCATTGAAGGGTTGTATATTATAACCCTTTTGTTATACTACAATACTGTAGTCCCGAACATACTCCTTGGGTATACCTCTCCATGGATATATCCTTGAAGATATTATATAAATCGTAAATTGTAATAAATTCTAAAAAAAAATGCTTAAAATGTAAATGAAAATGTTCATGAATTTAATATCTCTATAAATTAGTCATTAATTCACAGTAACTACAGTTATGAAGCCTTGAACTTTAAGGTAATGTGGGCTGTATAATACAGCAGTTGTGGTTGTGGTGGTCTAGTGGTGGCTGTAGTGGTACAGTAGTTGTTGTTGTAGTGGTGCAGAAGTTGTAAATGTAGTGATGAATGTAGTTGTGGTCTAGCCTGATGATTATGACTGTAGTGATGACTGTAGTTGTAGTGACAAATGTGGTGATTTAGTGATGAATACAGTTGTAGTGTTTGTTGTAATTGTAGTGAAGAATGTAGTTCATCACTGAACTGTAATCATTGAATTGTATGTTCAACTGTTCATCATTGAATTGTAAAAAAAAAAAGTTGTAATGTTGGTTGTGACTGTAGTGAGTTGTAGCATGGTTGTAGCAGGTAGCATAGACTGCATGGTTGTAGCAGTGGTTGTGATGGTAGTTGTGGTTGATTTGTATTAGTGGCTGTAACTGTAGTGATGATTGGTTTGTAGTGTTATTAGTTCTGAAACCTCAGCCGTTCCTGGTATGAAAGTCGACTTAGTTCTGGAATAAGTAATTTGGTCGCTCTTCACTGAACTACTGTACTGTATTTTGAAGGTAAGTGGGCCAGGTTCACGAAGCAGTTACGCAAACACTTACGAACCTGTATATCTTTTCTCAGTCTTTGGCAGCTTTGTTTACAATTAATAAGCAGTTAATGAGCTCCAAAGCACCAGGAGACTGTTTATAAACAATAACAACAGTTGATTGGGAAGTTTTCATGCTTGTAAACTGTTTAATGCATCAAAGTTTTATACACCTGAATAACCACATTCTTCCTCTAAGCCAAAAGGTTATTTCATTTTTCTTTGGTTTGGGTGAGTTTACCGCAACCCTAACCTGTTGATCAACTTTCAATGTCCATTTCATTTGTAATCTGTTACATGGCTGTGTTGTTTATATGGCAATTATGATGTATATTTGTATACCCTATATGCAAGGTTTTGCATTTTTCAGCATTGAAACGCATTTACCGGTCTTTTGATAATTTATGAAGTTCATGTAGATATTTTTGCAAGGCCTCAAATAGTTTTCGCTCCCCACTTTATCATAAATCTTTGCGTCATATGTCAATTTGATGCTGTGGTTTGTGATTTTGTCATCCATGTCGTTGACTTATGTTTAAAAAAGGGGTTGACCCTATAATGGAATCCTTGTGGTCTCCCACTCAATTTTCCAGCCCGGTCCTAACCCATTTCGGATGACTGCGCTTTCTTTGATTTAAAAAAAAAAATCCTGTATCATATCTACTACATATATTTATCTCTAACACACACACATATACCCACATCCCCAGTAAGCAGCCGTCTAGCTCCCAGATACCTGTTTTCTGCTAGGTGAATAGGGGCTTCAGGTGAAAGAAACTGCTCATATGTTTCTGTCTTGGCCGGGAATCGACCCCGGGCCCTTAAGAGTACGACACCCGAGCGCTGTCCACTCCGATATGTGTGTGTGTACTCACCTAATTGTGTTTGCGGTGGTTGGACTTCGGCTCTTTGGTCCCGCCTCTTAACTGCCAATCAACTAGTTTACAGGTTCCTGAGACTTATGGGCTCTTTCATATCTAAATTTGAAACTGTGTATGAAGTCAGCCTCTACCACATCACTTCCTAGTGATTCCATTTATTAACTACCCTGACAGTGAGAAAGTTTTTCTATATGCAGGCGATGAGTCACAATAACGTGGTTGAAGTATGTTGACCAGACCACACACTAGACGACGACGACATTTCGGTCCGTCCTGGACCATTCTCACAATCGACTTGAGAATGGTCCAAGACTGACCGAAACGTCGTCGTCCCTTCACCTTCTAGTGTGTGGTCTGGTCAACAAAGTTTTTCTAATTTCTCTATGGTTCATTTTGGTAATAAGTTACCACCTGTTTCCTCTTGTGC